AAAAATATATATATATATAACATGTTCCATGTTTGATAATTTGGGGGAGGGGGCTAAAAATGAAAAGTGGAAATAAGTTTTTATTCTCGTTAGATATAAAGATTTTTACTATGCGTAAAGAAACTAAGACAATACTTTAAAGGAAAATGTATAAAAATTATAAAAAGAAGTAGAAAACTAATAAGTAATATAAGCGCATTAAAAAATTAATATTTCCTTTAGTTTTAATTAGACACGGGACTTTTTTAATTATTAATTACCCACGGGTGTTTTTAAGTCACATGTCTATTTGCAATAGTTCCTTTTGTCTTAGAACCTGGAACATGTTATTTTTACTTGATTCTTTCTATCTCAATAACAGGTAATCATCGTTGATTGGTATTTTAGTATTATAAAGCTATGACGTAGACCAGTGTTTCCCAAACTTATGACTTTTGTGTACCCTTTCTAAATTTTTCGTAACGCTGTGTACCCTAATAAAAAAATTAATGAATTTTTTACAATAAAAAAATTGCACAAAAGTTCAAAATTACAACTGGCTTTTGAAAATACTCGTTATTAACTGTTAACTCAGCAAAAAATAGCCAATAGAAAAATACTCAATTGCGAATTTTCATGGAGAGATTTGTTTTTTAAAAAATTTTTTTGAAATGTTCTTTTGATGTAAGATATTCGCATAAGAACGAGTACCCCTGCTAAACTGTTCGCGTACCCCTGGGGGTACGCGTACCACACTTTGGGAAACACTGACGTAGACGGATAAATTTACATAGTTGGCAGTAATTGTTTTAACAAGGCTTATTGTTATTTTCGATGAAAGGCTGTTAGTATATTTTTATTTTTTATTCTTTGATGCTAAAATCATTTTCATTCGTTTCACTGCACATCTTTGGTAATCTAAAATAGTTTACGTTATCGAAATTATTATTTTGCAGCAAAAACTTGCTCATGATTAATAAACTCGTAATGAAATTTACACCATTTAGCGCGGCAATTTTCTACCAAATCATCTTTAAATAAAAATAAAAATAAAAAATTTGAAGATTTCAATCAGTTTTTAAAGTATTTAGGTTTTTAGGTGAAAATCGGTAATTACCACAAAAATTTCGAATTTGTTTTTTTATTGTCTATATTTAAACTTTTCATTATACTCATTAGCTTTCTACATTTTTTTAAATTTTTGTTCTTCGACTTCAGAATCGAAGTTGTAGTTGTTTTCTCTCTTGTTAACAAGCAAAACAGAATATCAATTATACAATTAGTACAGTTTTTTTAGTACTTTAAATGCATTTTCAGAAAAACGTTGATTTTGAGAAATTTCTTTACGCTAACACACACTACAAAAAAGGTTTAATATAGAATTATATAAAAATTTGAATGTGGATTTTATTTAGTTTTATCTATGTTTTGAACTAAAAGCTAAGGTTAAAGTGCATTTTTTAAAATTTTTATCATGCTATAAGTAAGAATGTTTAAATTTTTCATTTAAAAAATCAATACTATACAATATAAATAAGTTGTTTTTTATTGCATATTTGAAATTTAAATTATTTGAGATAAAAGTTCAAAACACTGGTAATCATATTATTGAATATTTATGCGTTGTCACCGCATATTTTGATATTAATGCGTTATAATTTGTTAGGGAGATGTTGGCGCAACATAACAAATTTGAAATTCTTATACTCAAATTTGACCTTTTTTTTTTTAAGAAGTGATAAAATTTTTTAAAGTTTAATCAAGATTTATACTCTTAGGATACCTGCTTGCCGAAATTAAATTTAAAATTTTAATTAATGTTATTTTCCGGATAAATTGTGTCAAATCCAGCCAGATACCTTAAAAACTAAAATAATTCTCATCATCTTTGAAACATTACTTAAAATCGGAGTTATAACTTACTCGGAAAAAAGAAGAAGAAAAAAATAGATGCAAAACAATTTAATTTAAAACTTGTTTTCGGGAGGAATTCGGGAATTCTTAACCTGGAAAAACATAAACTTAATTTCTTTCCTGAAAAATAAATTGCAGCGTTAGAAAAATCTAGGGAAAAAGTAGGATTAAAGTTTTTCCTCTTCTTGGTACTACAGTCAATGATTTATATATTTTGTTAGTATTTATTATCATAAATGTTTATTAACAAATTTTTTTTTTTTTTTTTTTTTTTTTGTTTCGTTATCTTTTTTTAGAGAACTGTTTTTGATACACTGTTTACCAAAATCTTTTTATTAAATTACATTTTAACTGCATTCAGCTTTTAAGTGACACTTAAGTCCTTCTATCCCTTTAAATGTTTTTTTTTTTTGAATATCAGGAAGAAAAAAAATTTTTCTATACATTTTCTTATTTAACCCTTTAACTATGTACAGTACGCACAATGAAAAAAAAACCACCACGATTAACTTTCGATCTAATTATCGGATCTTTATGTTCTATGGCTCATTCTTAAAGCTTTGAGGGGGTGACCACAATTATGTTAATTAATTAACGCAGACGATTGCAGACGTTGCGAAATCAGACATAAAAACGTACTTTCTCTTGAAAAACAAATATTTTTTTCCCAACAGATTCACATTTCTGACACCAAAATATAAATGCAAGCTGGAAAATATGGTCCCAATCATTTGATCAGTAAAACCATCCAAAGTTTTAACCCCACAAAGTTTATTTTATTTTTTGTGTATTTCGCTGTTTCTCGAGAAGTTCTAAAGCGAATTTAAAAATTTTTGCTCCCAATTATAAAATTAATTGTTCCAAAGGTTCCCCGCGCAAAATATAATTTTTAGTAAATATTCACCATTATTATTATTATTTTTATATCAGTCAAAACAGTTTGAATTGTAAGGCGTATACTTTTTTACATCACTTAAAGAATATAATTTTACATGGCCGCAAAATTCAAAGTGCGAGTGAAATCGTTCGAATCAGAAGTCGGATTTCAACAAAATCGTATTTTAGAAAATCTATCTCTCAGGAACTGTTTGGAGCGAAAATTTCCAAACTCATGGTTTCAGAAAATAGAATTAAATAAAAATCTGTTTTGAGTTATTTTTTATGGATTAAAACATTTTTACACGAAGAAAAAACTTAATTTCAGACATTCCATAAAACTTTGTCCTTCATTGACCTTCACATCCCCTCCCACAACGAATTTCTAGAAGCACCCCTGGCGCGCTTTTGTTGTTGCCCCATAGACTTGTATGTAGAAAGGTAACTGCTCATATATCAATTGTACTTCTACAAGGAACGTGTACTCGACATTCTTTAGATAAAACTGCAGCTTTCATCCTGAGTCCTATATATTTCAAAATACTTTCAGAGCAGCAGAAGAAATCGTTACTTTAGCCTGTGCTTCTTAATCCATGTGGTTAGATTTTCCAAATTTTTCTTTCTTCAATAAGTTTTAACCCAACTGAAAATAAAAAGCAAATTTAATTTCCTAAAATGATACATTAATGAAGTTTGATAATCAAATTATTCATAAAAAGAAAGAAAATAAACAAATATTCGAACATGTCTGCTACTGGAAAAGTTAAAAAAGCAAACGGATTTACTTTAACCTGGCATATTGAAGATTTTACTTTGTGGATGCTTAACAAGAAACAGAGGATTGAAAGTCCAGTGTTTCGAAACGAACAATTGCAGGACACGGACTGGATACTTGCGCTCTATCTACCTGGAGACGATGAAGAGGATATTATTTTGAATCTACACAGATGCAAAAAAGATGAAGTTGGCCCGTCTAGAGTAGATGTAAACGGAAAATTCTTCATAGCAAAAACTGATGGTTCGTATGTATTTCTGGATAAGATCGGTCATTTTTTTGAAGTGTATTCCGTATACGCGGAACCTTTTAACGTTTCTCAAAAAACTGTCTTGGAGGCTAATTTCCTGCATAAAGATATTCTGACTGTTGGTTTCCACTTTTTCATGAACAATGATTTTCCTATTGATTGCATTGGACGTTCAAAACTGACTGTGAAAAAATATTCCGTTTCTTTGCCGCTGAAATTTCCTGATGGTGTTGAGGAAGAACTGACCATCACACCAATGTTTTATGTAATCCCAGATCTTCTAAGATTTCAAATTTATTTGTATTCTCGCAATTTTACCGAAGCTGTGTATCCGATTACCGTTAAAATTCCGATGTCCAATTTTCCTTCTAAAGTTTTCGTACAGTGTAACTTATCATTTTTATGCAACGAGGATTTAAAATTTGAGAAAAAAACAAAACACATAGTTGAACCAATTAAGGACTATGGAATGTCAGTTGAAGTTACCAGAGAGAATTTTTTTAAACATTCGATATTCGATGCCAATCGCATAAAATGTAAACTGATCGTCAATGTGGGAGGCTACAGTTCCTATGTGGAGGAGATAATTTACAATCAAAATGTGCAAGATTCTTCAACAAGTAGATGTTTTGGTTTGAGCCATCTACAAGGTAACTTAATGCCATTGTATTGCGGAAAAGTTCTGTGCGATTTCAAAATTATTGTTTCTAACAAAGAATTCTCCGTCCACAAAATTGTTCTAGCAGCTGTATCACCAGTATTCCGAGAATTGTTTGAAAGTGGTATGATTGAATCAAAGAGCTCACAAATGAAGATTGAAGAATTTTCGGCTGAAACGGTTGAAAAAATGCTGGAATTTTCTTACAGTGGCAACGTCAAAGAATTAATGTGGGATATTACTTTGGAATTATACTCCATTGCTGACAAATACCAAATCCAAAAACTAAAAACGCTTTGTACTTCTTTTTTGGAATCTGCCTTAAGAATTGAAACAGTACCCGATTTATTGATTCTTGCAGATTTGCATGGAGATATGTTTTTGAGCAAAGTAGTCGAGAACTTCATCTGTGGTAATTCCAAAGCTGTATTTGAATCGGAGGTGTGGAAACAATTTATGAAGAAAAATGTCCAAGTTGCTTGTGCAACAATGTACCGTATTTGCCAGTCGGTGCTACAATAAAGTAAGTAAAAGCATCATAATTACTAGTACTACTTGTTTTTGCTATTGTTATATTTGTTATTCCAGAGGTGGTACAAAAACTATTTTGGAAGCATGGCATGAAATATACACGTCGTTCCACAATAACCACCCATATTATGAACATTTTAAAATTTTAATAAAATATACGATCAAAAGCTATGCATATTTAAGGTGAATTTTGGGATTTTTGAAACAAAAGATTTTTGCGATTTTAGGACACCTATATATTAATGTAAAATATAAATTTATATGTGCAGCGTAGCTTAATTGGTATTTAATACTAGGTAAACCATCATAATTATACTTGATTTCATTCCTGAACAGTTTAGGCATATGATTCAATATTCTGCAGTTGCTATAAAACTTGTTTTTTTTCCCCTTAAAAAATTTCTGGTGATCAGAAATAGTTTTAGCCTGGTGCTTTTTTGTTTTCCGCCTGTATTCTCTGAAAGACAAAATAATCTTCATTAAAAGAGAGAACAAAAATCATGAGCATTTGCCAATTCACTATACGATTGAATTAAAATATATTGGCTTTTTGCTATTTTGTATTATTTTTCAGCTTATTTTTTTTCTTCGATATTTCAACACAGACAAAAAAAAAAAAGAATAGATGTATTAAGTTAAATTCGAGAACATTCTATCTATTAGACTAAACTATTTTTGAAATAGTAAATGATGTTCGAGCCCATTTCTTGTTTTATTTATTTTTTTGTACTTATTTTAATGCAAAAAAATTAAATAAATAAAAATTTTGCATATTTTCATACTAAATATCTATACTAAATAAACTTCTTGTATTATGTTTCCACTTTAGAATCACGCAATGTTTATAAAGAAAGGAAAAAGAGTTAAAAAATATTGTAAAGATTTATTAAAAGATAAGAAAAAAAAAAGAAACATCAGAAAAAAAAATTGTGAATGAATTTGCGTAAAATAATAATGCTAATTATTTCGCTTTTGTTACGCTGAATATGTTATCAAGCACGTGAAATGGAAAATAAATAAATAAACAGTTTTTTAATTGATACTCTTTTACATCACACTTATCCCTAACATCATCTTTAACACGCTCTTTTACCTCATGTGTTTTCCCTTTTGCTGAAGAACAAAATTATTTTCTTGTCTTTGACTACCACACCTGCTCGACCCCACCCTTTTTTTCATTTTGACAGTTTAGGTTAAAAGAAGTTTAGGACCTAAACTTATGACCATTGATGACTGTATGCTGATTACTAATGTGCATGCGACATTAGGTGCATGTGACATTAATGTGCATGTGACATTAGGGTGACAAATGAATGGTAAGGAAGGAAAAACCGTTTTCAAACTCAAGCACTCAACATGAGCAAACGGGAGATTAAAGTGCAATTTTTGACGATCAATCAAAAAGGCATAGAAAAAATAGCAAAAAGCGAATACATTTCAGTTTAATTGTTTAGTCAAATGGCAATGATGATTTTCCTCATTTTAGAAACGTTTTTTCTTCTTCTTAAATTTTGATTAATTACTCATTTGGTTGACTTTGTTTTAACTAGGATTTTAAAAGTACTCAGTAAGGGTGGTTATTACAGTTAATGAGATCGAGAATTTCGGTATTAAATTGTTATGTAGAAAGAAAAACGTATTTAAAAAGCTAAAAAAAAATGCCCCCAAAAAAACAAAATTCAAGTATCTCAAAAAATATCCCAAATGATCTTGAAATGCAAAGAATGCAAGAATCATCAAAATCCAGGCATTAATATATATTTTCCTTTCATTATAGCAAGAATGATTATTTTTGAAAAAAAACTATTTGTATTTTTTTTAAAAAAAAAAGGATTCAGTAAAGTGCTTGAAAATATTACAGGTATAAATATAACTGATATTCTTTTTTATTATTACCTTCTAAAATATTTTCTTGATTTTTTTTTTCTTTTTGAAGAAATGTAAATAATGCTAAACCCCTATCATTTCTTATTTTAACTTCTAGATAAAATTATTTTTAAACTTTAAAAAAAAGAACCTGAGCACCACTGCTCTCCAAGGATAAAATTCTTTCATTTTAAAGAATAAAAAAAAAAAATAATGAAGAAAGAAAAAAAATAAAGTGATCTGAACAGCATTTCATAATCATTTTAATTCAGTAAAATGAATTATTCATTCAGAGAAGCTTATCAATCAGGAAAACAATCTTATAGAATTAAATTATAATTAAGTTACTGTAAAATGGTCTTAGAAACAGTATAATGCAGTAGTTGCAGACAATTTGCGAATATTTTTTTCATCGCGTTTGATGGCTTTGCACCAAATTTGTCTTTTTTCTCCTTTCGGAACACTAAAAAATAATTTATTTGGCGTGTTTAAAGTAGAACTATTGCACATGGTACAATACAACACTTGTTGTTTTTGCTTGAAACCGTTTTTCAGAATTTATACTCGGTGCGGCATATGCTTTCACCATTTCACAACATGATGGAAGTCGTGGTTGTACTGTACTGTGACGTCATCAGAGCGGATGGGAAACCTAGCAGCGATTTAGGGGGAGGGGCTAATCGAGCGATTTTGACTATTAATAACAAAATAACTAGTTATCGTACCGGTCTGAAATTGGTGTCTATCTTTATAAAATGGCATGATGTTTCATTTTAAAACATGAAAAAAAGCATGCAGGTTCCTCATTTTCAAAGAATTTTGTATGATAATTTTTCAACTTTATTAATAAAAAGTATTTAAACTAAAAAAGACAGCATAACTTCGTATAGATTGAAACATTTTATGTAGCATAAGTAAGACATTACAGGCACAAATATAATAGGTTATGTGATATACATTATAGGTAATGGGACATAATAGTCAATATTTTTCTTCAATAAAAGCAAGTATGATAAATTTTAAAAAAATGTTTCAAAAATTTGTAAAACAAATAAACATATTGCATTAAAAAAAGAATTAAAAGTTTTTTTAAAACATTGCAGTTATGAATATGACTGCAATATTTAATGTAATGTATAATTTTTTAAATAATTTAATATGATAATTACCAAACTTTAATAATAAAAAAGGATTTAAACTTAAAAAGAGATCGCAATTTCGTATAGATTAAAACACTTTATTTCGCATAAATAAGACATTACAAGGATAAATATCATAAGTTATGTGACATAATATTAAACATTTTTCTTTTTTTAGTATAATTTAACAATCCTTTTTCTTCAAAAATTTAAAAAAAAGCAAAACATCACGTAATAAAAAAATATATAATTAAAATTGTTTGAAAATAATGCAGATATGAATATGACTGAGATATATAATTTTCAAACAATTCAGTATAATAATTATTCAACTTTAACAATAAAAATGATTTAAACTAGAAGATGTAGCATAACTTAGACATTACAAGCACAAATATAATATGTTTTGGTGCATACAGTTGTTTCGATGCTATAAACACGTCTCAGTTTTATTTTAGTATTATTAGACCTTGACGCTTATGACAAATACTTGTTAACAGAATTAAAACAGCTCTATGACTTCTAATATTTGTTTTCATTTTGTATGAAATTTTTTTCTCTCCATAAAACTTGAAAATATTTTTTATTTTTTTATTAGTGTATCGGTGTTGTCAAATTATGAATATTAATGTTATTAACAAACAAATTTTGAACATGCCCTTGACATCAATAGGTAGGCTCTCAAGTCTTTTCTAAGCTTTGTATTTCTTTTTCTAAAATCTACAACTTTCTAAAAATTCTATGATTCGAGCCAAAAATGTCAAAATTTGGTGAATTTTTAAATGTTTTGATCATTTATATTTTAACTGCAATTTTTACTTTTCTAAAGCTTAACCTTTTAAGCAGAATTTTAATTAAACATATTTTACATATTTTTTATTATTATTTTGTATTAATTTAGATCAAAATACGTGCTGAATATTACAATATTTAGCATTTTAAAAATTAATGGTTAAGAAACAACTGCATGAGACATCTGTGTCTTTTTCCACGACAAAGGTAAAATCCTCCAAATTCGACTCACTTTTAAACACTAATTTATTCACCAGAGAAATTTAGGAAAAATATTGAGAAATATATTAAATATGGAAATAAAAATGTTTTATAGAACATAAAATATTTTAAACAATAAGTTTACGGGTAAAACTATTAACGTTATATACCTTTCATGATTTGGATAATCCTGTCGAAAATAGCCTTATGTTACAAGAAATATTTCATAAAAATATTTAAACAAAAATTATTTTACGGATGGATAAGTTATTTATTTGTACTGTGAATCAAAAGAATTGCACCGAAATAAAATATAAATAGAATTAGTTTTACACCAGAATAGAATAGAAAAATTATAAAAATATCAGGCAATGAACAAACAATAACCCCTTAAAGAAAATTCAGAAGAGAAAGTTTTAAATTGTGTATTTCTGTATTACCGCAACAATATTAAAGATGATCAAGATTTTTTTTCTATTATCGATAATAACTAAAAATTTGTTTTTATTTTTTGTTTCAGGCACTTTTGGCTCCTGGAAAGGAAATCAATTAGAATGCACTTCAATCATCTTGGAACTGAAAAAATATTAGATGTGTAATATTGACTTTAGAAATTATAAAATTTTATTTGAAGACTGTTAGTTTCTTTATTTTGAGATAACACTGACATTTGTAATGCATTGTATTAATATTATTCAAAACGCTAAAAATGTCAATAAACTATGAATGAAATTAATTGTTACAATATTGATTGCTTAATTGAAATTAAATTACTTGGGTATTCTTCAACATAAACTAGTAATATGAAAATAATTTTTAATGTATCATGTTGACGCTCCTCATCCCATTATGATATTACAGGATAGTCTCATTACGAAAATTAGAAAAGCTCAGAAAGAAGATAGTGTAACGATTTCGTTACTTGTTCAGATGGAACTAAAACTCTTATAAAAACAAACAAAACTTTTAATAAGTTTTTCTGGGTAAATTGTATATGTACAAGGTTGTTTTACAATTACATACACCGTTATTTACAATTATCATCACTTCTACGGAACACAAAATTATATAATAAAAAGTTCTCAAATCGAGACGGCACAAGGTCCGCTCATGATGCTTCGTCTCACCAGACTGCGTGTCGTCGCCTCTGTTACAGAGTCCAGTCTTTCTCCTCTTTTTGCAGGTGCATCGAGTTCTTAGAATTTCGTGGGGAGACACCGGATGCCAGAGGGGAATGTACTCGGGGGTCAGCTGTCCAAGATGTTACAATAGTGAAATCCAAACTGTTAAAGAGCTTTTGAAAACTGAACCCTATGATGACTTTTTTCTTAAATCAGGCAAACTATATAAATTTGTTGATGGTTAAGAACTTCTACACTTATGTAAAAGACGTTCAGAAAATCATTAATTCTACTTTTCAACGAAGCATTAATACTACTCCTTTTCAACTGTTATTTGGTACGTACTGCTATTAAAACAAAACAAGATCTGAAAATTACAAATATGCTGAATGAGGAAATTCAAACCGTCTTCCTTAACAGCAGTGACGAGTTACGGAAACAAGCGAAACTACTAATACAGCAAGTCCAAGATGTAAACAAACGAACTTACAATCTTCAGCGAAAATTATCTGCATCTTTCAAAATTAACGATCTAGTGGCAATAAAGCGCACACAATTTGGACCAAGATTGAAACCGAAATACTTAGGACCTTATACGATAACAAAAATTAAACCTAATGATACTTTTGAGGAAACTTATATACTCTAATACATGGTACATAATAGTTTAGAGCTCAAATGTAAAATATTTTTATTTTTTCGAAGAATGCAATTTAAGCGAAGACTTCGATGTACAACATACACACTTTACACAGCAAATCGGGGACCTTCAAGTAGAAATGTTGCATAACATGCATTTTTACACAGTTACTCTGTTCCAAGTCATTTAGATTTTAAAACATTTCGTTATGAGATGTTTATACTTTGTGTTTTACATTTTATTTAAATGCTTCTGCAAAAAAAAAAATATATATATATTTCGTGTTTAGATGCTCAATTGTTCTATGCCTTTTTGGTTCTAGAAATATGGCAACTCGAATGAAAATTAATAACCATATGGCAAAATAGATTCTACTTTATAGCTTTTTAAAAAATTAAATTTTGTTAAAATTTAAAATACTTCCCTTTAACTCTCAAATACCAAACCTTTTTTCAATTTTTATTCTTTATTATTTCGCTTATGTTAACTCGGTAGCGTATTAAATTTGCTCTGAACTCGGTCGCGAATTAAATCTCATCCAGATTCAGATCACTAAAAATAGAATAAACTTTTTTGGGAAGTAAAGACGTTTGGCGAGCAATGCAGACTACATTGCCAGTACCACTCCTATAAAATTGGAGTTCCTTGCGCATCACTAATATTTTGTTCTCGCGATTTCTGTTCTTTTTCTTCTTTTTTCAAATATTTGTTTATGCTTGCCATTTTTATAAATATTTAGTTAAGAAGTCTGCTTAATTTTTTGTTGATGAAACTTATAATATGTTCTTAACTAAAGTTGTTTTCATCTGCTAAGTAGCGAATGAAGTTAGAGGAATGCTTAAAGTATCAAAATCAAGGAAACTCTTAAATATTCTCTTAATTTCTTTTTTAAAAGCTAAATATGTGAATGTAAACCTCTCAAAATGTAAGATTTTTGTAAATCAGCAACCCAGGGGGTGCTGCAAACATATAGAACAGTGAAAATATTTCTAATATTAAGAACAATGAGCAAAAACTACTCATGCTACTTAAAATTTTTTTTTTTTTGAATTCCTTTTTCAGTGATTAGTCATTAATTGTGTTATTTTTCTGCTCTGAACTAGTGCTAATCCCGAAACTAACACAACATATTTCCAACAACAGGTAGACAAATAAATTATACCGTGTGGTTAGTCATGAGAGGTTTCTTTTAAATACTATCGTACAGAATCCGCTTCAAAAACTTTTTTTATAAGATCCCTTTTAAGAAGTAAATGTAAGCTTCAAAAGAAATGAAAATCAATGTTGAACGAGTGAAGCAGAAGTTAAGAAGCTAAATATAAATAAATGACATTTTCAGAGATATTTTCGAATTTTCTGAGAATTATTAAAAAACAATTTGAAGAAATTCTGATTACTACATAACAAATTCAAAATCAGATATTTTAACAACGTTCATTCAGTTGGCTAACAAGGTATTTCGGGTGCATACTATTTAGAAAATTTCAGTAGATCTCATAATTAGCCAAATATACTTAGTAATTGGAAGCACTTAGCTTACTTTTTTATATGAGTTAGAACAATTTTGATTCCGATTTAGAAATTTAAGCATAAATCAGTAATAAATATTTATGATATATTCATCCTTAATGAATTTAAACCTAAAATTGAAATTTTTTATAGATGTATAGAAGTACGTATAGATGTATGAAGTAGATGTAAGAAGTAGATGTATAGATGTATGAAATTTTTTATAGATTTTTTATAGATTTCAGTAGATCTCATAATTAGCCAAATATACTTAGTAATTGGAACAGGGTTTCCGCTACGGTAGCTTTTTTCGCAAAATGCGAAAAGACCCCTCAAAAATGCTAAAATTCAACNCCGATTTAGAAATTTAAGCATAAATCAGTAATAAATATTTATGATATATTCATCCATAATGAATTTAAACCTAAAATTGAAATTTTTTATAGATGATCCAGTTATTTCAATTTATTTTAAAAATTACATTCAATAACGGTTGATTAAACGATTATATCATATTTTTTTAGCTTGATTAGAAGAATATTAGAGCGTTCTAGTTAGCTTTTAGTTATTATCTAAGTCGCATAACTGCTCAACTTAGTGAATTTATTTAAGGAATTAGTTATAAAAATATGTTCAAGAAAATTTGCGGTCGTCCAAATTCTTTCGAAGATTTTACATATAGTCTTTCTATTTATTTATTTTCAAATTGATTCAACTGATCGCTTATCCTTTGATTAGCTTAATCACAGATTCGCTCCCTTGCCAGTACGAGCCACTGATCTAGGTGGTTATGCCTATACTATCAGAGCTGACCTATCAAGCAGTATTGGAGCAAGCAAGTTCGCAAGTTACGTTAACTTGCGAACTTGTTTGCTCCAATATGTTCACACCTGCCAACTTTTAATCCTTTCAAAGATGATTTTCCCCAGTGATAGTAAAATGGAATTTAAATTACAATTTTAGGCAGAAATATACACAGTATTTTGGTGTAGTTTACGCATACTACTTCTATGGTATTGCATATTTATCTAAACAATTAATTTTTTTGAAAATAGTGGTGGATCAAAAAGATAATAAATTAAGTTTATAAATGCAAGAATATATAGAAAGCATACATTTTACTACCACTTTAAATATAGAAAAAATTTTTTACTCCAAATGCGTAAAAGTTGGCAGGTTTGTATGTTTATAATGTTATTACAGAGATGCCAACTAATCCGGACACGCCAAAATAATTTTAAAAACGGTAAATAACTACAAAGTAAATTTTGCAAATAGTTGACTATTTCTGCTCGCTTTTAAAAATGTAAAGCATGTAAAAAGTACTATAAAGTGGTGAATTATATAGGCCTACGCATTGTTTAGAAGTAGTGGTGGATTAAAATCTACTAAATCGAACTTATTAAACCAAGAATTACAATTAATAAACTACCACTTGAAAATATTTATTCGCTGTGCTTATGTTAGCTCTTTGCTCCAACAATACCTCCCTCTCCCATTCATAGATACATTGATTCCGTCGCAGATTTATAGCCGTATTGCAAATTTACCGGTCCATCTAATCACTCATTCATTAATTCTTTTCCTATATTCCTAAATTACAGTAATTAGTTTATTTATTCTTATTGATCAATCACTTACTGAAGCAAAATGCCTCTTGTTAAACAACTTTCGACTGAAAGATATTAAATGGTGTTTTATTAGGGAATGAAGGATCATTAGAAATCAATATCGTTAATATACATCGTACAAATACCTAAAACCTCTCTCGATTTTTCGGCATGAGACAATATAATTTTAATTCTAAATATTGATTATTACCCGAATTCAAAGTAAGAAAGAACTTTTTCAGACTGGAATACTCCAAGAGTATACGTACTAAAGAGTATGTATACATACAAGTACAATATGTAATAAGAGTATGATGTACAATATGTAATGTGTATCTATTCTTTATGGTTTAAGCTGCTAGAGAGAGAAAATTTTGATACCGTGGGCAGTGAACGGAGAATCAATCGATTTCAATCCTTAAGGGGTTAAAAACAATCTAAGAGAAGTGAGATTTGATCGCTCAATCGTTTGTTGTTTTTTAACTTTAGAAAATCACATACCAGTTTTTTTTAACAATTTCTAAAATTTTCTTATTAAATTATCCAAAATTTAAAAATCATTTTAGCGATTATTATTCAACGATAATTATTTGCATCTTATTAGTCAGTGTAATATATAGAACACGAAAAACTATAATTCATGGCAAAATTTGCAATTTTAGTTAATTATTATTTTGCAACAAGATCACACGACTCTAACCCAGGTTTTTTTCTTTTTTTTTCTTTTTAAACAATATCACGTGAATAAATGTTAAATAA